CCCCGAAGCAGTTAGCGCTGAAATAAATACGATGAACGAGAGACTAAAAAAGTCAGAGACTAAAAATGTTCAACAAAAGAATCGTTAATAGAATTTTCCCAACTTAATGCAGTAAAAATGGGACGTCAAATTAAAACAAACATGAGTTTAGTATTTTTTCTAAGAATGCCCGGTTGTTACCTACCTTGCTGACAACTGCCAGCGCCAGAAAAACAACTATGCAATATAGACTACTCATCGTGACTGCCTCGATTCGCGGTTGTTATCAATTGCATAGAACATGTCTAATATATATACTTATCGGTGAGTGTGCTATTAATATTCAACACATCAACGTACAAAAATAAACGTGTAGTACAAAGGAGTAGAAATTTATTGATTCGGTTACGCAACTACTGTAAATTGCTGGTACCTTCAGACACGAAAATAAAAATGCACCATGATACTTGCAGGTGACATTAATCATAACCGGTTGACCAACCTGTGTAAAAAGGCGGCTACTGTTATACAGATAGAATTTCCCTGGGCATTCAGATTTGCCGGTCATGGCGTCTACGAGTATTTTGCTTTCAAAACAAAGTTACAAATTCCTAATGTACATATTATTCTTTTCGAGTTCCAGGCGGCATATCAGTGGCACTATTTCGTGTATAAAGTATGAATCAATGAGATTATTTATTACACATCCGACTATCTAGTGTCAGGAAAATGGATAAATGAAATGAAGGGTTAGAAGGTTCACGACATCTAACACGAAGTCGCTAGGTACTACTATGTATGTTCGTGTTATTAATAATAATACAGTGACAGGGATAGTGATACCGGCTAAATATCAATGTGTCAATATTATTATGGTACCACACACTCATTGATTATACATTAGAGGGCGATAACGTTTAATTTCAAAGGCCGTTTGCACGAGGTTTTTCTTGAGGCAACGAACCGGGTAGCGCATGGGAAAAATCGGCGACAATAACGGTTACACGAGGTAACTTACATTGGCGACGAGCGTGTAGATACATGCAAACCGACATAAGACGTGTTTTTTTTTTTATTTTTTTTTTTTTTTATTTTAGGCGACGTGTCGTGTTCTTATTTGTCGACGCGATTATGATATACATACGAAGCAACTCATTAGACAACATATGCGTTGCTGGTCACGTTGTCAACATATGGAAACAAAAACAAAAACATACTTTAATATTATTTGACTTATTGAATCTATTGATATATTTGTGTTTACTAGTTTTGATATTTTTTTTATTTTTAAATCAGGTCACCTGACCCCTTCACCAGTTTCAATGAACATATATAGTTCAGTTTGAAATTGTACGATTATTGTCTCTCTGATCGAAAGTGGGTATGCAATATGTAAATATCCTGGAATTGAAAGTCAAATTTTGGTCATGCGGGCAGGCATTCACATTACATGGCATCACAATGCATACTTAAACCATGAGCATGGGAATAATAACATCCGCGTATCCACTAAATTAGGTAAAGTAATCAAATTTATGCAGTGCTAAAAGATGTGCTAGCAGGCAAGAATTGATATCGGTGACAGAAAAAAAATAATACAAAATTAGTTTCTCTTTTATCTACCCTCTCCCGTTCGTCTTGCCTTCGCCGCCTATTTACACAATGGAATGCTCCGCTAAATGGTTGGTTGGTGTGGAGCGATAATTCTTGTAAGTTTTCGTAACTAAAGATTCTAGATGTATATTTCTACACATTGATTATGCGTGAATGACTTTGGTGCCCTAGCTCAATATCTAATTATATCCTCATACTAAAAGCAATTATTCCTGAACCTGCCCTTGCATAACCGGAATTCAGTGTTATTTCGTTTCATCCCAACGCTGTTTTGTCCAAATGTCGGTTTGTCGAAGTAAATATTTACAAATAAATGAAGAGGCATCCATCATTTTTGGTGATTTTTGACCCCATGCGTCGGTCGATACTATCAGTGCACTGTTTTCGGCACTTTGTAGTTTTCCATGACTAACATATCACTGACTACATGGAATTCAGACACATTGTCATGCGACGGCCTATCGGCCGATTTTGATACAATAGAAGACAATATTAATTAAAATTGTAGTTTAGGATTTCTGAACACTTTTTTAAATTGTTCGATTCTTAACATTCCATTGCGAAGTGATAGCGCTTCTAAGTCTGAAGTAAACAAAGGAATGTGTTCGAATGCGACGTCAATTTGATGCACAGTTTCCAAATAGTGGGGAACATTAAAACGCACGCACTTTCGAACACTTACGTAGTGTTTTATAAGAGGGTGAATTCTATTGTATTTTGTATTAAAGTTGATGGATGAAATCTTCCTTGTTACATTATTGGGGCTAGAAGTTACTCTGAGTGTCATGGCCTTGTTTTGCAGTTACTGCCCTCCATAATTGCCGGATAATACAAGTGTGACGGCATAATAACTATATCAAAACAATATAGGTGAGGCAAAACAAATCGTGTTATCTTTCATATCATCTGACGTTGTCTCTTTGCGGATTCATTTTCGAAATAGTCAATATTGTTTTCGCAATAATAAAATGTATAAATAATAACAGGTCGTGGTACCAGTACTTATCACATAAATAATTGGACACCTATTATTGCTTTTTACACATACAGATAGCTATGTTGAACAACGGTTGTTGCAGCCCGCAAATTGTAAACCGTGGCGTTTCTCGCAGACCAACCAATATAAACAATGATTATTTAGATCTCAACTTGTTCATTTCTTTTTCATTCTGCGCATTCCCCATTATACCAATTTTTTTTTTTACTCCACTTTTCACAAAAACACATATCCCCACAAACAACTTCATATTACAATACATTTTAAAGCGGAAGGGTCAACACCTCCGCACGCGTGGGAATTGAGTCCCAAGCGATGATAACAACATACGCTACGAACTCAAAGGTTCATGGGTAGACGCTTGTTTATTTGTAAACAACGACACGCTATGGCCACCTGACGCATGCCTAGGTGACGACTCCCCCGCTTTAATATAACACTTAAACTTAAAAGTAAAATAATTGCATATTTATTGTGTATCAATAATCATATTCAATTTATTATTTTCTCCGCCCAACCGAAAACGTGATACAAATTTGTTCTCTCACACAATGACGTTTTTCGGCCAATTGAATATATAAAATGACATCTCCAGTGAAAGTGTGGAAACAGCTCGACTACCGACTATGCACTATGTAAAATTAATTTGGTTGGTATGGGAACAATCGCTATACAAATCGAGAACGTCAGCGCGAAGAGCTGCTTTAAAGTGCTTATGTTTAACACCAAACATACCGATATGCACATATTTACTATACCCGTGTACGCAATTTAATTCATACTGTCTAAACCAAGCCCCGCCCCATATAAATGTTTATTTATTTATATTGTGTTATTCTAGGTACTATATATTGTTGCCAGCGTTTAGCTCATCCGTCTGAAAATTTTAATACGTGAAATATTAGTTGTTGAAGGAGAAAATTAGAGTTTTATTCAGTTTTATTTTAAGTACAATGTACTGTAACTTTGTTATTAGTGTAGCAGGAAAATTGAATTGTATACAATAGTAATGTATACTGGTTATTTTGGTATCAAATCGTCGCATGCTGTATGTTTCCTGCAGGTGTTACCATTTTGAAAATACCAAAACTGTTTTTATGAGTCACGGTACCAGTACTTAATACTTTAACATTGCATTTCCCACACACCTGTTACACACATCTTATTATTTACCACCTCGACATGAACGCAGATACTTTTGTTGAACACGCATAGTAAAATTATGAATGGTACGTTATATCCGCAGTGAATTATTCTGAGGTTACAATAGGCTTTTTCTATAAAACAAATTATATAAATTCACCAGTGAATATTATTAAACAACGTTTATCATAGCCTGGGATTGCTACACAGATGTATAAATTACCTTAAATTTATAGCCTCGTCCCCGTAACTAGTTATCAATTTAGGAGTATTTTGTATAATATTGAAGGAACATTATTTTGCGCATTATTTTGGCCATAGCACAACGGAAAAAAATAAATTACCACCTGGAATCATGAAAAGGTTTTTTATGATTTCGCTAAATTATATTTATGTCAATGTTACACAAATTAGAGATAAAAGTCTTCTTTAGTTGTATGAGATTCCTTTCACTATAGTTATCAAATTAACAGCAGTGCTGAATATGTTTCTTTTTCATTTTTTTTCAACGAATGGAAATAGATCTTTATTTCAGATAAACATGTTTTATTGTCACGGCGATTTTGTTTAGACATTGATGTAGTCTGTGACTGCCTAAATTAATCGCTTCATATATGCCACCACTGACATTGGCCCAAGAAACCCACGGGAATGCCGCCTAGAAATTACCCCTGAGATGCGCTTCTAAAATTGCCTCTAAGATGCCGCCTCGAAAAATCGCATTGAGAGAGCCTTTAGAAATTGCGACTGCGATGCAACACATCTGCTGATGCATACAGATACTGCCTTACTCCTGACAAAATAGTACACATACATTTTACGCAAAAATAAACTTGTCAAACAAAACCATGTTATCGAAAACAGTAATTGGTCACCTTGAATTTCTAAATTGTTTTGAAAGCAAACTACTTCGTAGACGTAATGACCGCTTATTCGAAATGCTCAATCAAATGTGCTAAACGTCAGGGAAAATTCTATCTGTATAAAATAACCAGCCCCTTTTTACAATGGCTGTTCAACCGGTTATGATTACTGTCACCTGCAAGTGAATAATTTATTATGGTCCTACTTTTAGTTTCATTTCTTAAGGTACCAGCAAATTACAGTTTGTTGCGTAACCGAATTAATAAATTTCTACTTCTTTGTACTACACGTTTATTTTTGTACTAAAATATGTTGAATATTAATAGCACACTGTGCCGATAACTATATATATATTAGACAAGTTCAATACAATTGATAACAATCACGAATCGAGGCAGTCACGATGAGTAGTCTACATTGCATAGTTGTCTTTCTGGCACTGGCAGTTGTCAGCAAGGTAAGTAACAACCGGCATGTTTAGAACACATACCAACATTTCATTAACGATTCTGTTGTTAAAAATGTTAAGTCTTAGTCTAGCTGGAGAAAATATTGAGTTTACTGCAATGTTCGTGACATCGCATTTAGTTCAACTTATAGCCTTGTTTTCTGCCACGGAGAGCACCGTGTTCAATTGTCGTGTGGTAGGCAGTATAAGTGTATATTGGGCGGCACCGAGGATTGTGTACCTCCAATGAAAGGGCAAACATTATATCTGATTAAGACTTTCAGTTTTGCGTGGACAATTTATCGGTTTTATAACGACAGTTATTCTCAGATATGCTCTTGCGTACTGTTCGCCATATGTTTTTGACTATTTGGAATCACTGTGCATGGTGATTCTCTGTGTTCGACAATCCAATATTTTGGGATTGTGGTACCATTTATTACACAAAATACAATAATGTATTCCTATGGCAGTACTGTTTTCGTTTTGTTTTGTTGTTATTTGCTCAATTATTATATATCCATACTTGAAATACTTGAAAATCCACATGAAAAAACTTTAAAAGATAAAACGTTGCATGTTGTAGGTTTCAACTATTAGTAGTTAATGGATATTTTCATGCATATATTGCCGGGATTGTTGAGCGTGTGTTTCATTTTAACCTAACAGGTTGATACTAAACAAACTCTTTTCAAAATTACCAATGACCTGTTCCAGAGTAGGTGATGGCTGATCGTTTCATCATGTTAGAAATATACTAGTATTTCAACAACAAGAAACAAAGATCAAAATATTTTAGTAAAGAAATTGAAATTGTTTTCAATAATAGTTGACAGTGAATACAATATTATAGTTCTTGATGTGATGAAACGATGTTGGATTTGTCACTTTTAACGTAAACTTCTTTTTCTTTTGTATTACAGCCAAGTATTGCTGAATCGGGTAAGCATTTTCTTTTATTTATATGGGGAACTTCTTTCAGTGTCAAAAGATTTTTTCGATTTTTTATTCTTGAAAGCACTAAGTTGGGGAGGTAGGAACTGTCACTATTTGGTAACAACGATCCAGAAACTTGTGTTTCAAATATCAAGATGTTTTGGAATGGCAAGATTGTTAGATTTGTAGTTGAGTTGCAGCATTTATATATTGGCGAAAACAGTCGATCGTATTTCATGACTAGTATTGATAATGTCTTACTGCTTAAGTATTCAATGTTCTCCGGTACATGGTTAGCCTATTTTGTATGTATTATTTTCTATTTGTACACCGAGTGGCACACGGTGTATACTGCTAAATATACAACGATTCAACATTAACAAGTATATGAGGTTAAAGAGAGAATATCATGAATCATATACGAAGCAGGATGATATTCTTAGTGACTTACATGCTGTGTGTTCTTTCTGTCATATTATTAATTCATAACGATTACATTCATTTGTTAAAACATTCAATACCACATGTTAAGCATACAGTTAAGTTACGTTTTTATGATGAGCTATGTTTTAGTTCTATAATTTCATATTTTTTCGTTCATTGTTTTACCAGATCAACCACATGTTATTCTTATATTTGTGGATGACATGGGATGGAATGACGTACATTGGCACAACCCTGATATTGCAATGCCCAACTTGATGGATCTCGCCGCTGATGGCGTCATATTCAACCAATCATATACCCATCCTACATGTACACCGTAAGTGTTAATATCGTTACTATGTATGGAATGCAGTTATAAAATGTTCATTCAAGTTCAGTATAATAGCAATAAAGGTTAATGTAGAATGGATTCATTGTCATCATGATAGCGTACAGGTTAATTTCAGTGTCTCACTTCAATATAAATCAGTATCTCGACAAATAGTTGTTCGTTCCTATTGATATGAAATATAAATTTGAATTATTATACCATATGTATACTTATATATTATTATTTAGATCAAGAGCTGCTATGATGAAGGGATTGTATCCTTTCAAAACAGGAAATCAGGTGAGAATTATTTTTATTGAGATACAATGTATCTGTCTTCGCAGATCCTATTTACTTAGAAATGACGATACAAAATAAATTTGACCAATGTCTTGAACAAATTTACTTCCTAACACTGTCTTAATTCTCGTTAGTTAATTAAATTCTGTTCATATATATTTTTCAGCATCAAATGGTGTTCAACCTTCATCCTAGTGGGGTTCCATTGGAATTCAAGCTGTTACCAGAAAAACTTAAAGAAGTTGGATACTCTACTCATATGGTTGGAAAGTAAGTAGACCATAGCATATATCACATTGTACTTACATTTGTTTGCTGTACTAAGGATTATGCGATTACAATGCTGAGAGTCTGATCCAATTCTTACATTACATTATTACATACTTATGATGATATTTTTGTTTTTTAAATACATTTTAAATAAAAGATACCTTCATATAATTTCAGACAATCTGATCTGGAAACATCTCGTTCAGTTGCCATGGTTTTCTAAAACAAGTTGACCCAGTGTGATATTACAATATATCGGCAAATAACCTCGATCTGATTAATGACATTGTATGTGGTTGCTAATTTGACACAAAATAAAAGTCACACGCAATGATAGAAAGCAATTAATATATAGATAGAATCAAAGATATTTCTATTATATATTTCTTATTTCCAAATGTTTTCCAAATTTGTTTTTAGATGGCATTTAGGGTTCTGTAAAGATGAGTATCAACCAACAAATCGTGGTTTTGACTCACACTATGGTCTATGGACATTGGGAGTCGGTAACTACGATAAAATGAATGGAGTACTCTGTAAGTTAACTATTAGTAAAACAATATACTTATTCTTATATGTGTCTATGTATATGACAGTGGTGATATTGTGCCATAGTTATGATAACACGTTTTCGGGAACGGGTCGACTGAGACAACGATTTTATTCAGTTCACTCATCTTTGAATGGTTTGTCATTCTAGCTCCTTCAGCAGGATATGATTTCCTTGATAACATGGGAGTGGTACCAAAAAGTGACGGTTATCTTGCAGTGAGTATGAATAATAGTATTGTCATAAACCAATGTCAAAACACTCATTAAACAGAAACTTATATTGTTTATAAGTAATTAAGTAAAGCATGGTGCCTCGCTTTCAAAGTTATGGTGAAAACTTTAAAACAATATAATGATAAATCGACAAATTATAACATATTTTCTTGTCCACAGTTAATGCTTGGTGATAGAGCATAGCATATCGTAAATACCCATTACCCAGGAACTCCACTCTTTTATGCGTTTACTCAGGACATCCCTGCTAAGCATCTGGAGGTAACTATCTTATTCTGTTGGTTACAGTAAAACAATAGTACATTTAACTAAAATTACATAGAAATTTGCATTTGGTATAAGTTTTGTATGTAATTATTTTCGTTGGTAACTTATTACATTAATTTTGTGTCTCTGTGTTATTTCCCCAAGATTCCCGAAGAGTATGAAGAAAAGTATGCCGAAATCGAAGATGATAGAACTAGACAATTTTATTTTATGGTAGGTAAAATAATTCCAAATAAGCATAGTTCTATCTAAGGACACTTCATCCCTGGCCTGGGACATTACATATGTCATCAAGTGAACGTCGAAATATTCAAGTGCCTGTGAAAAGCCCTCCCACATTTCCCACTTTAAATCTGTGTCCCACTGAAATGGACATTTATTGATTTTGTTGTTGAAAATGATTACTCGTATTCAAGTAAATTTGAATTTTTTCTCTCGTACTGTCGCCACGCCCACCTATCCTGAAACGATTGACTGTTTCCGGATTTCCGACTCTCTCCAACGTTAAAATAAGCCACCAAATGCCAAAATATGAGAGAAAGCCATACTCTTGAGCCGTACGTTTATAATAACACTGCGTCATTCAACATACTTTTAAACGATATACATTTTCGGTCAGCGATTTTTTTTTCTATTTGAGAGAGAGATTTTTGGAAAGGTTGTTTTTACAACAAACACTTATGATGGTTTGATGTTGTGTTGAGGGCGGGAGGAGTGATACGTATAGCCATAATGTAAGTATTTACATGTTTTCAATCGACATCAGTGGACGGAAGCCATGCACGAAACGGGAAAAGGGTGGGATGGACTTTCTCCTTACACCGTCATGTATAGTGTCCATTTTACCTCAGATTCTTTTTTCATGAAAGAACAACCAGGTTTTAAAGGGAATCGCCGACAACTTAAGCCTCGTGCAATACCATCACTTGTTTGTGTTATGTAAGGTAGAAATAATTTTGATGGTGTAGCAAAAAAAACGAAGCGTCGGGCAAACAAGAAATTACGCAGCACTTACACACTGCGAATTGTTTTCATTTTCGCAGGCTAAAAGTTTCTGAATTCTTCGCTGATTGGTGTCGAATGTCGAATTCACACCTCTGTTACCTTTACTTGCAGTTTGAGCAGCGTGATAATAAGAATCAACTAAGTCAATTATAATATGATGTCATAATTATGACAATCACGCTAACTCGAATTCACTTTGAATTGCCAACTCCAATGTTGTCTAGTGCCGGGGTCCAGCGAAATTACACACGTGTGCCCTTCACGGTGACCAGCTACGCAAGAAAGGGCATACTTCGCATTTAACTCAACCCTATGTGACAAACTTTATATTATGTGTTCATCATGATTCATTCTTCCTCGACGAACAATTACATACGTGGCAATTTAGTTAAATATGAGAAAACTGTGCATGAAATGTGTATTATATACACGTATCGGCAGTGAAAGTTGCCCATCTAGTTCCCCTTCTTACGTCACAAGGGGAATTTATGTATGCAGATGAGCAGCTAATGAGGAGCCTCGTTTTGATATACACAAACAAATTTTGAAAAGTAAAAGTTTGAAACGCATTTTTTCACTTTAAAAAAAATATGTTATGCTTTGAAACATAAAAAATAATAATACTTATGTGCCGATGAATGATTTTAGGCGAGAAAATAGCAACCATTTCACAGGCACCATAATGCATTCATATTTAGTTATGATGGTAAATGGCACAATGGGTGCCCGATATTTCCTGCTCAAAAATAAACAGCCTTAGTTGTAAAAAATGAATGCCCGTTATGTAAAATGAAAAAAAAACAATTTAGTATTATTACTATTTCAGGAAAGTTGACTATGATGGACGACATAATTGGCGGTGTGGTGGATGCATTGAAGAGCCGTGGAATGTATGACGATTCGCTAATAATATTCATAGGTGACGTAAGTAAACAACGTCTGTTTTGTTCATTTAATTTGTAAACGTGTTTATGACTATCTGCAATTGTCTATGTCATTTTTTTTTCAAATCAGGAGACTGATTTAGATGGAGAGTTGCCATCTTTTTTATCTTGAATGGTACATTTTTTAGAAACCATCGCCTACTTTTACTCTGCGTAATTTGATATATGTTAAATTTGAACCTCCTCGTTGGGCATAATCCGTCTTTCCGTGTAGATATATTACTCTCAGATTTCACAATTTAATAATATTATAGTTGAGTGGATTTCCAAGTTTGTGTCGTCCATTTATGTATATGTCTACATTTATTACACAGAATGGAGCGTTATCGTCTCAATCCGGCTCAAACTATCCATTCCGCGGTATTGCTGGAACACTGTTTGAGGGCGCCACTCGTGTACCATCTATTGTCAGTGGGAAGGGAATAAAGAAGACTGGATATGAAAGCAATGAGTAAGATAACTGTAGTAATAATAATCTCACAACAATAATCACAACTAATGTCAACGAACCCTAAATAAGTTCATTTCCACTTGGTTCATAGGTTATACAGCATAGTTGATATACACAGAACAATCCTTGATGTGGCTGGAGCTAAAGCTGGTAAGTTAACACATAAAGTCAATAAATTTTAGGCATGTTGTTTCACGACCGAATGTTAAATAGCGGGCGTTTTAACATTTACACGTTTTTATAATCTGTTTCGTATTGTATTTGATAGAGCCTGAACTTGACGGTTTAAGTATGTGGCCTACATGGTCAGAAGATAAACCATCGCCAAGAAATGAAATCCTCTACAATATCGATGATGATCCAGTATCCCCTGGTGCTGCTATCAGGTAAGCAATAATATATTTATTCGTGTGTATGGGTTGTTATTATATCAAGTCTGGTTGGTGAACAAGAATTGAAATATTAGCTTGTATTAATATTTTGAATAACCAAATAATTGATCTAACAAGTGAAAACGAATGTGTGCTGCAAAACATTCTTCTATTCTAGAACATTAACTGTACATGTATATGACGAACCTATGGTGGAATATAACATATATGCATACAATCTCATCATGAATTATCTTTTGTATGTTTTTAGGATCGGAGACTATAAACTGATTACAGGACACCCGGATTTATTGTATCCATATCGGGATATCAGTTTAACAGGTAAACACCTATAGAATGTTCGATTGAAATTTTATCAGAACCAAAGATTACTGTAAGGATATTGAAGGCAGTTGAATTGCATTCGCAATGTCTCAATCTGACGACACCATCTGACGCATGTCAATGTATATTTATTTCAGATAACTATTACAATTATGGTGACGCCCCAGCAAGCGGATTGCCAAGTACAGACCAACAATCACACGCACCGGCTCCACAGAACGTAGAATACTTGTTCAATGTCGTAGGTAAGAGTGTGGATTTGTCTTCTTTTAAAGCAAAGCGTCTTGTCACTGTAACTAGACAGGCACATTGGATGTCACGTCTTTTCAGTTTTATTGATTCAATACTAAGGTTATAATGTCTCTCTTTCAATTCAGTTGACCCAGAAGAAAGAAACGACATCTCCGCTGATCATCCAGATATAGTACAGGATTTACGTGATCGATTGGATGAACATCGTAAACTGCTAATTCCACCGGTAAACCAAACAACAGAGCTAGCCGGTGCCGCCGGGAATTTTAATGATGTCTGGTCGCCTGGTTGGTGTTAACTCAAACCATACGACAATTCCCTTCTATTGTTGGTTTCCGATACACGTGACATGAAATTGTCCACAAACGTCAGCAACTTGTAGCTCGTTCGAATTGGCTAGATATTTGTGGAACAAGGTTGTTGTTTACTGCGTGACTGGCAATGAAAAAGACAGCACATTGCATAACGTACCCAGACAAATCAAATCAAATCAAATCAAATCAAATCACGCGTTAGCAATAATTTTAACTCATCTATAATTTATTTGGGTTTCAAAGGTATCAAATAAAAGTTCATTGTTAAGATGAAAAAATGTGCTGTTCAGTAGTTCATTATGAGAGGAGAATATATTATTATTTTTAATTCATTCTTACGTCATATTCTAAACTCTTTATAAATACAAAACCAAATTATTACGAGTTCCCATTGAATATAATTCACGTTTAAATTCGGCTGCTTGGGAAGCAAAATAGCTGTCTTACGGTTAACTGATGTCGAAAAATTTTTTGTAACTGGCAGAAATCTTCTAAATGTATAAATATTTGGCCATGTGGGTAACAGTTTGCGTATCCGATGTACTATATTGTGGGCCCAGACGGAATGAAAGTACATATATTACAAGTGACTCGCACCCCTAAGAGAACTCATGTTTACTGTTAAAAAAGCCAGCAAATCTCACCCGAAATCAGGTCAGCATATTCAGAAGGATAACTATTTTAAATTCAAAAACACAAATATCATTTCGAGCGAATTGATGCACTCATTATGAATGTGTACAACGTAGTTACTGAAATTATTACTGATAAATTGTGTGTGTCAGACACAGGTTATATATCATCGCTTGCTGAGAATGAATATCAATGACACTGGGAAATTAGTCATATCAATGAGCATGGTAGAAAGCGTGACACTGTGCAGTGATTTTCAAATTAGATTTCCTCTTCATGTTCTTATCTTTCTCGTTATTTCTCTCGACCAAACGTAGCACACTTTCGGTTTGCGTACTGAGTAGTACTATTTCTTTTGGTTCCTGTCAGAAAGCATTACACATCAGCTTGTCAAGCTTAATAGCGACGAGTCATGGATTTACGGCATCAGTAATGATTTCTACTTTGGATGTGTGTTAAATACAAATAATCTATAAAATGCTTTCATGTTTGAAGCTCGTTCTGAAATGGTATATCACATATCACATATGTAGGTCAAAATCTCTACAATGACAGGTCACGTAAACAAACAAGTTAAATGTTTAAAATACTGTCTGGTGCAAAGATTTCAACTAAAAGCCAAGAGTGGACAAATCCCCCTGTGTGTCCCAGGTTGAACTATTACCAAATAATGACACCAATGTATCGGATAATATTTTATTTTATTTCATTTATTTTATTTTCATTTATAGTATATGAGATAAACCAACAATATGGCCATAAACATATAAATGAATTTACACAACTCAAATATATAAGTAAATTTAGCATACAAATATATGCTCTAAATACAGAATATAATAGGGTCTACTTGTCAAATAAATATCAAGAATATTCCAGATGGTCCGAATGGTGTACGAGTCTTCACCACGTGACCGGTCTTTTTTGTATCACGAAACTTGTTGAGCGAGTTTCCTTTGTCTTGATATTGCAGGTACGTATAGGGACTTGGCTCTGACGAATTTCGCGGACCACAGCAACGGCTTGAAACAGGAGACACCTAAATAAAAGCTTTAAATTCACAAAGGAAACAAGAGGTGACGAAAGAAACGAAACTAGCCACGACGACGTCAAACCACAATTAAGAGCAACATCCATGGTTCTCTTATGCAAAGCACTGTGGATTTAAAAGCGCCACCAATGGTCCAAACCATATTTAACCATATTAGAGGGCGCTATTACATTTAATTTCTAAAACAAAATACATTTAAATCTTTTTGTAATATTTTATAGTTAATTTAAGCCACACATCATCAAAATAACATGTTCCAATTAAGACTCAGAACAGCACAATTATTTCAGAAATGAGATTGAGAAACGCGAGCAGAAATAAACAGTCACTGCACACAATCAAGAAAAAACAAAAAACAGGACTTATTTGAACGTTACTGGCGCTAAACATTATATAGAATGGGACATGCAAAAATGCAGACATGAAAACAAACATGGCTTGAATATAATGCGTAAGCTACAACTTTTCCAGAGAAAACCAATTATAGGAAACAACAATACATTTCTACATTGGAGGCCGTCATGTGTTGATGCACATTTCACCTGCCGAAATGTACCAACCCGCCAAGACAATGACAAAGCTAAAAGTGATAAAAAGCAGCTACTTTTTGCTTGACATTACAATGCAGTGAACCCTCAAATTATATCCTGCCATTATACAGTAAACCATTATACAGATACACTTAGAGACTGTCAGATTGAAAACTATTTGAATAGCTGGACTCTGATAAAACATAGAGGGCATCATACAAGCAAATGTACCATATTTAATAAAAACGGATCTGATTGATTTGAATTCCGTACGCGGTTTTTTTTCGGGAAAGAAAGAGTATACCACTCAGTATTATTTTTAAATACGAGGATTTTTCCACAGTTTATTTTTAGTGTTGTATAACATGAGGATTTTAATCGGAACAACCTCAGAAGTTTTGTTAACCCGTTTAATTCTTGTTTGCCACAACAGTAATCTTTCTAGGATACAACGGACCAACATGATCTGTTGCCTAATGGCGAATATAAAGCATCTTCACTAATATACGCTATAAGTTGTTATTTTATTCATTCTTAATGTTTCACTGGGTGAATGAATAATACTATTCAATAAATGGAAAAAGAACTATGCAACAAACGCTCTTGTTAGGAGATTTAATTAATTCAGAATCTGATCCTGGGCGAGAACTAGTGGATTTGAGAGTACCACTGAGCCCAGATCGTCTATCTAAGGCACACGACTATTTATATGCTAGCATTCCGAAATGCATTACATTACGTCTGTAACAACAGATGGGAAAATCTTTAGTCAGTACCTTAGTATTACAGTATTACAGTAGCATTAAATTACCTATTTAACGCATAACTTAAGAATAATAATCTGTTAACTATGCCTCATGGTGATTTGTTAGCATGGTTGACATGCATGTTTATAAGTGTATCATTAGTTTTCATAAAACCAAAAGCTTATTGCCCTGAAACGTACATTACATATATTATTAGAGAACCAAATTCCTGAATGAGCATGGTCATTACTTTAATTTCATTCCAGTTCAGTAAAGGGAGGAGGTATAATAGCACAAAGTGACAGAATTAAGTGTATTCCAAACCCGATCAGGAGTTCTGGAACACTTGGAACGATTTTAGATTAAGACTATTATTCTTATTGTTTTCATTTTTTGAAGATCCTATAATAAAATTTCAATATCACTATACTTTGCATTAGTATATACTAGCCATGGTTTTATTGGTTATATTTCCCTGCTGCAAAATTTTAATCATCCGGCCTGAATGTTTCTGTACATTGTTGAAAGGGTTATTTTAAAGCAGTGAAGTCGCAAAGCAGAAGTGGTTCCGGCTTCTCAGTGTCAACAGATGGTAGAAATTAGAGAAATTGTTAATTGATAAATTATGTTAACCTTGCAAGCCGGTATATAATTAGCTAACACAACGAAACATCGTTTTTTTGCACTTATATAGTGGTGACTGTCAGCACAAGTTGCCATCCAGCGACGGCGTTGCAGGTGATGATTTTCTTTATTAAATGAGACAGATCAATGTGTTTAATATTGACCATAATTCCTCAATCCACACTTTAAACCAGGTGGCCTAAAAGTAAGGATATTTTTATCAGATGATATAGTTATTTTAGGCAGTGAAGTTGTAAATCAGGCTTGTAGGTGATCAATTATTTTTTGATTTGAGAATTATTTTGATCCGGCGAACGGGATTAGTCTACGTAGGTTATGTGTTGTGATACATTCGTGCTTTATCAGTTGTTCACAAATGAGTCTACCATTGTACTAAATTTAATGTTATTATTCAATCTACGTCAGCAACAACCACGAATGTAATGTCTATTATTTCACAAAAGCCCGTATCCCTGCATTCCTTTTCGACAGCCCATTATGGACTAGTTTCACTTCTTCTACCATGATGTTATCTTTAAAATCATGCTCAGTGATATGATTACGTTTCCCGTTTCACCAATACTCATTCTCAACAAGAGATGACATATAACCAGTGACATAATACTATAATGTCAGTAACTACGTTGTACACAAGTCATTCATAGCAAATACCAAATTATAATGTCAGAGTATTCAATCTCAGTGCACGAATTCGCTGAAATAGGTTTGTGGAAATATGTTGTATATTGCTGAGTCTTTTTCGACAGTAAAGTTTAGTTCCCCTTTGGGATATAAGCACTTATATATGTATATTCTCTCCGCTTACGACATCAAAGAATATACATTTAACACGCGAAAATTACATCAATTCGGAAAACAGACGTATGCTGCTACCCTAATAACCAAATAGGCATGTAATGTTGCTGTTTTGGTCATCGAATCAATATCGCGGTGACAGTATAGACAGATAGTAACATGCATTGCAGATAAAATAATTCGGGTTACATTTATAAGCTTACTGCCGTTAACGCAATTACTGTACATTTTTGGGAAATGTCAATAGAATTTAGTTAACTACCATTTTTAAAAATGGTAGTAGTCATTTTTAAAAAGGAATTAGAATGTGACATTAAAAATAATAACACATACTGCTCTCATATTGAATTACTGAGAGGCACACATTATTCATCTTAACAATGAACTTTTATTTGATGCATATATGAAACCCAACTAAATTATTGATGACTTAAGATTACTGCTAACACGTGATATGTTTTGATTGAGTACGTCATGCAATCTGCTATTTCGTTTGTGGCCAGTTAAGCAGTAAACAAAAAACCCGTTCCACAAATATCTAGACAATTCAACGAGCCTACAAGTTGTTGACGCCAACAAACATT